ACACACACACACACACACACACACACACACACACACACACACACACACACACACACACACACGAGGACCGATACAAAAACCAGAGCTGTTTCACATCGACGTTGTCCTCCCTTCCTATCAGGGCAGAACACATTCTCATTATGTCTTCATATACATCGTAGCCCATTGGAATAAACTGTTCCCCCAGCATGGACAGATGTAAAGCAAGCAGAGAGGGCTCTAAAGGTCTGTCATGAGGCCTTGTCTCCTTTCCTCAGTCCATGTTTATGTTTGCTCCACAACAAATTCAGGAGATGCTGATGAGCTAAGACAGCAATGAATATTACGGTCAGACACGTGAGTAGGATTTTGGGTGGTTTTGGTTACTTAGTCAGCTACACTTTAAATGTATTGATGCCATCTAATCTTCTCATTTTTATTCATCCATCTGATTTACACCCTTTCAGGGTTGCGGGGGGCTGCTTCCTCTCCGGTGGTTATTGGGCGACAGGTGGTCAAGACTATCCTACTTCATAGAGGCAAGCAACACAGACAAGTTCATACTTATCTAGTGACAGTTTAAAGTCAACCTAAAATGCATGTTCTTCTCCTGTGGGAGTACACAATGCCCCCTTTGGGAAGGAACTATCGTTTTCAGAAACAATGAGCAAACTCCACAGACAAATACTGCCTGGCTGGGAATCTGCAACCTTCTTGCTGTACCGTATAATTTAAAAAATTGTTAGCCTCATAGCATAATTGCCCAAGACATATTTGGTCACAAATGACTCAGATATATATATGTTAGGAGGCAAACAAAGTAACTTAAAATTTTCTGTGGTAGTACCTCCACAGCACACTCAGTATGTTCCCTTGTTTGTCCTAAACTTTGTCATTATGTATAAAGGACCACTGGATGAACGTTACAGCTCATCCATTGTCAATGGGTAAAAGAAATATAAAAATTTAATTTTTTAAAAAAGTTTGGCCACAAGACAATTTTGAGTCGTGTCTCTTTCTGAGTGATTTAGATGTTGTTGGAGTCAGATTATATAAATATGTTGTTTTTTGTTCTAACTGTTTCAAAGGTATCAACAC